CTCTGCGGGGGGGGGGGGGGAGGCTGGAGATCTCTCAGAATTACAACTGATCTCCAGACTACAAAGTTCAGTTCCCCTGGAGGAAATACAAACCAGATTGATTCACGGGAATAAGATATGATCTTATTTCATGCCGACCTTTATTGGCATAAAAGATGCTAGTAAGTCACAGTGAAGAATAAACACAAAGGTCTGATAGATAAACACAAAGGTCAGAGACATAAAGCAGTTGATTAAAAAATAAGATACGGTCAAAAGACCCCAACCGTGAATTTATAACTGGCTGCAGTCACGCATGCTAAATAGTCAACTTTCAATCCACTTTCAGTGGACTTTCCATCTGGATTTTTACTGTGTGAATTGGCAGAATCCAGTTGGAAAGTGGATGGGAAGTAGATTATTTAGTGTGTGTGCGACGACAGTCTTTGTGAGATTCAGTAGTGCTTGGCGAGCCTTAAACTCCTTTAGGCAGCCGGGTGTGTGTGTGTGTGTGTGTGTTTGTGGAGTGTAGACCAATGGGACATTAGGACAGTGTGTGTTGAGCCTCCCAAGGCTCTTCAACCCCCCAGGAAAGCCTGGGTCCCTCCACTTTTACCACTTCTTCATGGTACAGGGGCAGGGCCGCCGCTAGAGGTCTGCCAGTTGTGATGCCACACCTTCCCTCCCCAGAAACAGAAAGAGTTCAACACAGATGTGTTGGGGAGGCTCAGGCTGCTGCTATCAGACACGGTGTGTCTCCAGTTTTCTCCATCAGCCGCACGCGCTTTATCTTGCTAGGGTGCGCCGCCAATGGGACCCACATTCATGGCACCCTGCCTGGCCTGCTGCCCTTGCTAAGCCTCAAAGCCTTTTCATCTGCTCCTTTGAAAGCAGGCTTAGCAAAATGGACAATGGGAATTAGAGGCGGGTAAAGCAGAAATCAGGAATGAGAAGAGATTGGATTTCTACCCCGCCCTTCACTACCCAAAGGAGTCTCAGAGCGGCGTACAATCTCCTTTCCCTTCCCCTCCCCACAACAGACACCCTGTGAGGTGGGTGGGGCTGAGAGAGCTCTTGACAGAAACTGCTCTTTCAGGAACAGCTGTGCCAGAACTTGTGACTGGTAGAAGGAGGAGGAGGAGATTGGATTTATTCCCCTTGCCCTTCACTTGGAGTCTCAGAGCAACTTACAAACCCCTTCCCACAATGGACACCCTGTGAGGTAGGTGGGGCTGAGAGAGCTCTTTCGAGGACTGCCCTTGAGAGAACAGCTCTGAAAGAACTTGTGACTGGCCCAAGGTCACACCAGCAGCTCCACGTGGAGGAGTGGGGGATCAAACCCGGTTCCTCCCAGATTAGAGTCCACACTCCTAACGACAACACCAAACTGACGTGTCCCGACATGGATAGCCCAGGCTGGCCAGATCTCGTCAGGTCTCGGAAGCTCAGCAGGGTCAGCTCTGGCTAGGATTTGGATGGGAGGACTGCATACCAGGGTCGTGACGCAGAGGGGCAGGCAACGGCAAACCAACACTATCCGTCTTGTCTCGGCCTGACTTTTCGGCACTTTCTCCCACCGCCGGGACTTACTTGAGGCTGATGAGACCTTGATTGGAGCAGAGGGCGCGTGTGAGGGCGCTCACCCCCACGTCGCTGATTGAGTTGCTCTGGAGACTGAGAAGACAAGTGCAGAGAGGCATGAGCCATTGATTCACCCACCTGCCAGGGTTCCTTTCTAGCCCATCCCGTGGGACACTCCCAGCTTGGCTTTCATTTAACCCAAGGGAAGCGTCGAGTATCTAGTCCTCATGACTATGGAGATGTAACTTTGGTATCTACTGAAAGAGAAGCCAGCGGGTGGCTGTGCAGGAGCTCATAAGGATCAGCAGGTGGAGTTCCAATGCTCTGAAGAGCCCCTACACAGGCTGTGTGTCAGAAGCAGGACCACGCATGCAAATGTATGCAAATCTACAACATGATCAGGGGTCATTTCCTGCGGGAGCGGCGCTCCGGCAGTAAAGAGCCCAGGAGGCGGGCACTTGCAACAAGCCCCACCCCCTGCTCCCAGCAGCCCTCAGTCAGAGCAAGAAGCAGCCAGGTAAGTTGCAGAGCTCCC